GCGGTTATGCCCAGCCATGCTAGATAGACTATGTGATATATGTGTTATGTGGTAGTAGTAGGGGGTGAAATAGTCCCCAGTATCCAGTTGAAAGGACCGAAGGGGAGGCCAACACCCAGATATGCTAGGCAGTATCCGGTCGAAAGGACCGAAGGGGAGGCCAGCACCCAGATATGCTAGGCAGTATCCGGTCGCAAGGACCGAAGGGGAGGCCAGCACCCAGATATGCTAGGCAGTATCCGATCGAGAGGACCGAAGGGGTAGGTCGGGCACCCAGATATGCCTGACAAATTTTACGAATGTTATGTGATTATGTAGTATGTGGTACAGTGGGGAAACTCACTAAGCTTTGTGCTTACGTTTTATAGTTTTGTTTTCAGGTACCTCTTCTTCGAAGGGGAAGGAGCTGGCGCGGTAGCGGCACATCATGCACACACTCTGGTTTCCGCATTTACGAGATTCACTGGGATTTGTACTCTGATATTTGATGGGTTGTATGGTTTGGCTTTTTAAACATGGTTTACGTTGTGTTGTGGTGTGATCAAACAATGTTTTAATTATTAATGTTTTCTAAAGTAATGTTTTTAAAACGAAATTTCCGGACGTGAAAATTGGGTCGTTACATTTCCTTCACATTACGCTACAAAAAAAAAAAGATTAAAAAAACATAATTCATCAAAAAATAATTATACTAACTAAAGAAAAAAAACTTGAAATAATGTGAAGTCGTTTCATTCGTAAATTTTTCTTACGAATATTATTGTAAAATACAATTACACATGCACACACAAAGAAAGAAAAAAACGAATAATAAACCAAAGAAATTAAATAAAAAATAGTTAAAAAATTAAGCAAAAGATTTGTAATGAACCTTCCATGTCATGTATTCAGCTTATAGGAAATGATATGCCTGTAAGAACACAGGAAAAATAATTGATTTTCTTCAAACTTTTTATATAAAATGTCAGATATATCTTGATGGAAGTTTATACAATCTTTAACTTTGGTTTAAAGTTAATTGTGAGAAAAATGTTGAAGACCATTCATCCAAACCAGAAATTATAAAAGACACACTAATATTCTTTCAAAAATAAAGTGTAATTCACATATTCATAGTTTTAATAAGAACAATAACATCCATTTCTATTAGTGCTTGACAATCATATGAAAACCTTTCGACTGTATAGTTGGTAATAACTTTCTGTTTTCACTTTTCACACTTTGTAACACATAAATTTTGGGTAGGGTTAACTATAGTGTGCCCTTAACACACATAATTTATCATGCTGTTGAACCTTTTACATTAGTCACTCAGTTAAAGTAATAAAATATTAGTATATCAAAGATTCAAGATCTGTGAATCAATTTTCTAGATTTTTTTAAACCTTTGTTAATGTTTCATTCTTTCCTTATGCTAAAAAAGAAATCATATTCCAAAACATGAAAATTGCACGTTTAACATTTTATGAATGATTTTTCTTCAATTGCCAAACTTGAACTTTATTTTTCATTGGTAACATACAACAAGTCAGCTAGTGACAACCAAAAAGATTGTAAAACCATAAAGTCTGGTGTTACATCTGCTGATAGGATAATCTAGTAACCTAAGTAACTTATTTTAGAAGGTTGAACTTGATCAAAGCAAAACATAATTGAGGGAGTTTGTATCAATTTGGTTATGAACTAAGGGGCCAAATGAAGCTGGTAATTAGGGCAAACGAAGATGTGATGAACAACACCGCATAAGTTTCAAACATGAGGAATAAGATTGGTAAAGAATTTTAAAAAACGAAACCATAAGAAAGCTAAGAAAGTAAATCAACAGTTACCTTTGTTCGTCGCTTTGGTATTGAACTGAGAGAACAGTTGAAAACCGAAAATTTAACATGGATAGAAGACGGAAAAAAGGATACATACCTTAAATTGACATACCCGACCTCTGTTGGTAACGATCAGAACCGTAGGCAGACAGAAGTCCATCCTTCGGTCTAAAGAACCTGATCTCTTCTGAGATTTCGTATTCAGAATCTGGTTCGTTGAGGGAGGTGGCGGAGGGAGTACAGAGATTGGAGCGTTTTGAGGTGTGATTGCGCTTAGGACTAATGGAATCGGAGATTCATCTGGTGCGATTTGAATACCTGTTTGAGAGACGACAGTATTCAGAGGTGTGAAGTCGTAAACATAAAATCTCAACAAAGGGATGAACCGATTTTTTTACAATAAAAGCGAGAATCACAAACGGAAATTAGAAGACAACGTCTACAATATCTTTAAGGCAGTGGAAAAGATAAACTTGAACCAATTTTGAAGGCAATCTGAATAAAAAAATATAACCTTTTAAAACAAAACTGTCTGTGGCGAAAGTAGGAAAGGAAGAAAAAAAGTGCCAGAAATGAGAATTGCCAAACTTTCCTGTTGCTCAAGATTTTAACAATTATATATAATAATATTAAAAAAACTTGATTTTAACATTTGAAATTTTATATGAAAATAAAAAAAAGAACATGTGTTCTCTCTCTCTCTCTCTCTCTCTCTCTATATATATATATATATATATATATATATATATATATATATATATATATATAGGTGCTCTCTCTCTCTCTCTCTCTCTCTCTCTCTCTCTCTCTTGTTGAAATTTTTTTTTGAAAAAAAACCAAAAACATAAAATAAATAAAAAATAAAAAATCGATTTTTTAAAAAATTTTCAGCGAATTAATAAAAAAAGTTGCGATTTTCCAAAAAATATAAAGTCAAAAAAAAATTGTGATCTCTAAGTATTTTTTTTATGTATATTTATGATTTTTTTTTTCATATAACGCCTCTCTCTCTCTCTGTATGTGTGTGTGTGTGTGTGTATATATATATATATATATATATATATATATATATATATATATATATATATATATATATATATATATATATATATATATATATATATATATATATAGGCACACACTTTTATCTGTACTGTGTATAATACACAATTATTAATATTCCAAGTTTCAATTTTGTCCCCAATAACATATAAACCAACACCAAGAACGTCATATTAACTTTAAAGAATTTCAAGAACTACAACATCTTTCGGTTGATCTATTCCAGCAATTAAGAACTTCAACATTTACAGTCTGAGGCATGTCCTGACTCTTGAGTCACATGCATTATAACATATTATGTTTGAGTTTGTCAATATATTGGATTTAAGGACCGCAACATCAACCACATTCTTTTACTTTCACTGAACCTATCTATTGAGCTCGAAGTGCTTCAAAATCAACAATTCTCTACACATAAGGAGCCAATGTAATCACACACACTGTATCTCTAAAAGTATGAAGACAATTAATCATATTCATCATCTTCAAACTCTTTTAGCACACTTAAATTCTTTGTTTCTTAACATATCTGGTTGCTTTTGTATTTGTATTTGTCATGGTACTACTTTTCTTTTTTGTAAACAATTCTGAAATGTTTATATCATTCCAACAATTAATATAGTTTGTGACTAATGCCTCTTGTTCTAAAATCATCCCTTTGATGTAAAACTATGCTACAAAACATTTTTGCCACTTTCGAACCCAAGGGCTATGATTTCTAAATTTGTTTGTTGCTAAAAGGCCCATGCACAAAAAAGTAAATGTGCCCATATGGGCCTTAAAAGTTCTAACATTTTGTGAGGTGTGGTCTCACGAAAGAAAAACAAAAGTTTAAGGGGGTAAAATGCCTTTTTATATAGTTTAGAAGTCTTTACACAAAAATTATTATATTCATATAATAAAATAGATATAATTGCACCCATCCTCTGGCCTCTGGCTCTTTGTCCCGAAGAAAAAAAACCCTAAATTTCGTTGAACTCTCTCTTCCTACGCTCATAACGAACTCCGAATTGAACAGCTTCCAGTCAGGTATTTCCTCGATCTCTTCAATTCCCTTGCAGCTGAATCTGAATTTTTGGTTTGATTTTGAAAATTTAGAGTTTTTGATTCGGTTTATATATACGTTTGGTGCTTCTAAAACGGTTGCGTTCTTGATTGAGAAACGAAAGAACCTATTTTTTCTGCTATTCGATGCGTAATTTGTTGGTGATTTTGAGATTATAGTAATTTTGAATTATCTGTTGCGTTTTAGTTTGGTTTATCCCTGGAATCTAAGGGTCATTCGATAAAACTCATCCAGGAAACAAAAAACTGATATGTCCATTCAATTTCTCTGAAATTTAAGATACATGCGTATATACGCCTTGAAATTTGCGAGTTAAAGGATGTTTGGATAGGATCTATTAATTTAAGCCTGGTTCCATTTAGCAACACATCGTTTTTCCATGGAATGAATATATGATAACGCCATGGAGCAATTTGCCAGTTTCAGGACCCTTGTGCTATGGTTTTTGTACTTACTCTATCTCTCTGACTTGCAACACTCAAATTATGCAAAAACTAGTTTTCAATAGATACCAATTTGCCCCCATCTTATGCATATAGAAATAAATATGGTCATCATGGACCTCAAAAGTTAAGCTTTTGTGATGGATGCTTTCTACACATGTCTGTAGTCAAGTTTTTTCATTGATTCATATGCAGAGAAAGTTGCAATTCAATGTCTGTAAGGTTTAATTCATTTAAGTCACACAAGACCTCTTTATGCTTCCTTTTTAGGTTGCATTATTTTGTATTTCCTTTTCCTTTGTTCTTATCCTACCCCAACTAGTTTGCATTGAACAACATGTATAAAAGGAGGTGAGAATCCATAAGAGAAGTCTCAGGTTCAAGCTTGGACAATTTTATTTACCTCTCTGATGTGATTGATGTTTGCCAGTGTCTTAATGATGACGTGGCGAGTGTTGGGTATGTAAGTGGATTCATTCATGGTGGTGTGCTTGTTGAAAATTGAAATGAAAAAAAAAAAAAATATGTGGTTTATGTGTAGAGTTGGGATTGGTGTTTGAGTGAAGTATGATTGGATTTTGTCTGATGGAGGGTGTGGTTGCCATGGGCAGGGTGGAGGCGGCTGCAGTGGTGGAGGTGGTGGTTCTGGTTGTTCTTTTAATTTAAAAAAAGAAAAAAGAAAAAAAGAAAAAAAGAAAAATGAGTTCAGACAGCAGGAGTCGATCCAGGAGCAGAAGCAGGAGCCCCATGGATCGCAAGATCCGTACCCATCGAAGCTCTTATCGTGATGCTCCTTACAGAAGGGATTCTCGTCGGGGTGGTTACAGGTTTTTTTATTTTTTATTTTCTATTTTTTTTAATTCTTCTTTTTCCCCCCAAAAAAAAAAAATATTTAAGTTGGATGTTGGTGTGGGACCCGGAGGCAAGGATGGAGGATTGACTCTCCCACATTTTTCTTGATTTTTGTTGATATGTTTTCTATTTTGTTACATTACATATACCCATAATTCATATAGCAACATGCGTATCATGAAAATACATACTTTTATCTATTTATTAAAATATTAATTGAAATTTTTACTTTTCTCCAATTTTCAGCCAAAGTAGTCTGTGTAAGAACTGCAAAAGACCAGGACACTATGCTAGAGAATGCCCTAATGTTGCCATTTGTCACAATTGTGGACTTCCAGGGTAAGATTAAAAGTTTAAAACTGTTTCTGTATTAAATAAAAAAAGTTGACTTTTTTAATTTTGACTTTGACTTTGACAGGCATATTGCATCAGAGTGTACCACAAAGTCCTTATGTTGGAACTGTAGAGAGCCCGGGCACATGGCCGGAAACTGCCCGAACGAGGGGATCTGCCACACGTGTGGGAAAACCGGCCACCGTGCGAGGGAATGCTCCGCTCCTCAGATGCCACCTGGCGACATGAGACTCTGCAACAACTGCTACAAACAAGGCCACATCGCTGCTGACTGTACAAACGACAAGGCGTGTAAGAACTGTAGGAAAACCGGCCACCTGGCGCGTGACTGTCTCAACGATCCGGTTTGCAACTCGTGCAATGTGGCAGGCCATGTGGCTCGGGACTGCCCGAAGGGCAGCACGGGTGGCGATGAGCGTGGCGGCCCACGTGGCGGGGGTGATAGGGGTTCGGGTGGTGGTTTCCGGGACATTGTGTGTCGGAACTGCCAGCAGGTTGGGCATATGAGCCGTGATTGTGTGGCGTTGATGATCTGTCATAATTGTGGTGGAAGAGGACACCTGGCGTTTGAGTGCCCGTCCGGGCGGTTTATGGACCGGTTTCCAAGGAGGTACTGATGAGAGGGATTCCGGGCAGATGGCGGGCAGGTAACATTGGCTGTTTTTTTACTGCGTTTTGGTGTTTGGGAATTTTCTTTGGTAGAGAGATTTGAAAGTGAGTTTCGGGTGTTGAGTTTTAATTTTGTATGATTTAAAGTGAGTTTCGAGCACAGCTTGATGTTATTGCTGTAGTTTTATTTTGAAATGATAGTGTAATCCTAAATCCTAATCCTAATAATAATGTTGGAATTCTGTGTGTTGCCTTTTCATGTTAGTTCTCTCACTTTTCCTTTTTCTTCATTAAATATTAATGGATATATCAGAAAATGACGTCATATTGTAGAAATGGAAAAATGGTCCACAATGGTTTGTTGTTTTCTTCGGGTTTAGGATAGTTGGTTGGGTTATGGATTTGTTCTCTAAATTTTCATGGGTCACGAGTTTAGTGTCTATTTTTTTTTTTTTTTTTTTTTTGGTTACACAGACGGTCCTTATGGTTTAATTTTGATAAAGTGTTGGCCCTATACCATACAAAATGACTGAATATTCTTTTCACTTTAAATTTTATATTTTTATTAAATTTACATTAATTAAAAAAGGGAAATACATAAACCCAACTCCAGTTTGACTCTCTTTGGGTCTCTCACAACTCTCTTTCCCCTTCATCACTAACCCTTTTTGTCCCTATGGAATACGATCAACAATACCGAACACCCCCTTCATTGCAATTGATTTGGTGTCCTCTCTTACCTTCTTTTCGGCGAGCCTATGAAGGGAAAATTACCATTGAGATATGGATCTCTTTTCTTTGTAATTGATTTGGTGTCATCCAGAGGCTTTAACGATGAAGGAAATCAATCACATAGTTTCTTCTTGTTAATTTTGATGTTGTTAGTTTCATGTTTTTGATTATGTTAGGAAGTAGAACACATAAAACACGAAAACAAAAACACAAAAAACATAATACTTACGTGGTTTCGTCAATGTGACCTACGTCTATGGGTAAGATGAGAGCATTAGTAATTTATGAGTTTTCAAACAGTTGTTACAAGCTATGCTATCAATAGCGCGCTATAGCGTTTTGCAGTGTTACTAAACCGCTATTTTGAAATAGCGTTTACATATAGCGGTGACGCTATTAGCGGCGCTATTGACTGCTATTTACCACAAAAACTCATCAACGCTATAGCGACGCTACACCCGCTTTTACAATTTCGTACATATTAGGCTACTTTGACAAAGAAAAAAACAATTGTGTGTTATTTCAATATTAAATCTTCATTTTTTTAACTAGTCCACCACACTTTTTGTCTTGATAAGTCCAAATAATAAATATAATTAATTACAAACTACAAATCAACAAATGATAACTTCATTTTCTCGTCTGTTTCAGTAGTTAGAAACCACGAACGACTTGAACTGTAATGACATTTTGACACTTTTTAGTTTCCATATAACTATATTAGAATATTATATATAGATTATGTTATGTTTTATATGATTTTTTATGATATTGATTCCATATAGTATTAATAATCTAATATATAAATTTTGTATAAATATATAATATAACTTATACAAAATATTAAAAAACCGCTATACCACTGCTATACCACCGCGATAACCGCGATTTCAAATAGCGGCATGTGACCGCTATTGAAATTTAGACTGCGATAACTGCTTAGGTTACAAGTACACTTTGACATAGATTCGATTATCACTTTAGAATTCAAAACACAAACAAATGACTAACAAACATCCTTATTTATAGACAAGGAATCAGACTTAAAACCCTAAGGGACCAAGCCCCATTAATTCATAGGCTCATGAAAGGTGTCAACCAATCACAATCACCATTCAGTAGCTTCTGGAACCTTTATTCTTGAGATACATTATATGAGCATCAACAACATACATGATGGAGCATCATGAGCCATAGTGGAGCATTATGATGAAAAAGTGGTACATCATGTGTTGGATTAGATGTCTGAGCCCATAACTATTTTGGTATGTACTTGACCCGATTGTGAGCATGGTCCTTTTGGGTTGTCTTCACCATAACAACTGAGAGGATGAATTAAGGATAAAGTGGTTTAATTATGATTTAATAATATATTATGTGAATAATATCTTAAAAGAGAAATCATATTGGTTAATTAATATTAGTCAAGAATTAATTAAGAAATCTATTTTGTGGCTAAAAGAGATTAATTAAACTTGGGGGACTAATATTGTAATTATAAGATAATTGCATTGTGGGATATGGATTCCTAATGGAAAGAGGATTGGACAAAATCTATGGGAAGCCCATATGAATTTCGTCCAAGGGTTTTCAAAAAGGACTCCATGCGTTGCTTAAGGCCTAAGCAGAGAATTAGGGTTTCCCCTGAAACCCTAGCAGCCCACACAAGTATATAAGGAACCTTAGGGCTCCCAAAACGTAGCCAAGCATTCCTTGGAGTATCTTGGACGTTTTTGGTGCCTCATACCTCTCTCATTGTTCATCTTGTTGCTCATGGTGTTTGTGACTCCATTAGAGATGCAATATTTGAGGCACTAAGCTTTCAGAAGTCAAGATCAAGAGGAATTGAGATTGGTATTGCTACATAACAATCAAGGTAAAATCTAAACCTTATTCTTATGTTAATATCGATTATCACATGCTAGATCTAGGGTTTAGTGCTTTGGTATTCAATGTTGTATGTTTAACTAGAAAAACCTAGATCAAAGCAATTAGGGTTGCATGAACACCATAGGAATAATGTTATGCTTAAAATCCAACATCATGAACACAAATAGCGCATCAACCATCATGGTGGCACATTATGCTATATTCATTGAACATCTTCAACTTTTGAGCATTCTTGGACAATCATGAGCATCATAGTGTACATTATAGCATAAGTGGCTCATCAGGGGATACCATGGCTCATCAGGGACACATGTGGCGCACCCTTACCCCAAATGATACATTATTCTTGAGGATGGTGCACCCTATGAAAAAGGTGACACATCATTTTCAAGTGTGGCTCGTCCTCTTCATGAATGGTGCATCAGACTTCTAAAGTGGTGCATGCTCTTCTAAGTAGCGCATCTAGCTTCCAAGGTGGCACATCCTCATCATATATGGCTTACCGTCTTCCCAAATGGTTCATCTATTTTCCAAGTTGGCACACCCACTCTCTAATGGCATATCTTCATAATGGAACATCACAAGATGCTCAATTCCCTTCTAATGTGCTCCATTCCTTTCTTAGGTGCTTTGTTCCTTTCTCGGATGTCCCGTTTCTTTTTCAGATGATTCATTCCCTTCTTAGATGATCCATTCCTTTCCTATATGATCCATTCCCTTCTTAGATGCTCCATTCCACTCCAAGTGCTCCATTAAACCCAAATTAATTGTGACAATTGTGAAAATCAAGTCAAAAGCATCAAACTCAATCATTTTGAATACATGTAATAGACCTAATGTAACCGTTTCAAATCATTTTGATGCAAATAAAACTGATATACTTTGAGATGCATCTGGAATATCATCTAAATCTTCGATTAGTGTATATAGATGATGTTGCTACATGAAATCTCGGTACATATCTAGTCACCCTGATGTAGGCTTCCTCCAATGAGCACTTTAAATGTCATATTGCACAGAATTGACAACACTAGGTTAGAAAGACATATCAGGGATGCGACCCCGATATCGCTCTCTAATGCCTAATTTAGATGTCATATTTTGGATTAGGGTTTGATTAAAATTGATAAATATTGCTTACCCCTTCCAGAAGGATCGAGGTTCGTTTTATGTATGGGAGATAGGATGATTCTTTGGTGTATATGATCGGTAAATCTTAGTGGGCTGACTATCGAACCCCATTTATTTGTTGTTTATGGCTTTTCATCGGATCGGGTTTTTTTGGCCGCCCTGGTTTTACTTGAGTTAACGCCCATGCCCCATTAAGCTGTAACATCCCGTTTGAAATAAAATAATTAAATAATAACCCGAAACCCCAAAAAGCAATTTTATTTATAATTTTATGTTATTATAGTCCAAAAGTAAATAGATACTGGGATGTTAGTTTCAGGGGGTTAAAGTGTAATTTCGAGACTTATTTTGAAAAGGATTTATGGAAGCGGGGACTAAAGAGTGAATTCTAGACCTTATGTGAGAAGATTTTTGTAGAGGAGGGGATGATAGGTAAGATTTGGACTTGATTTGTAATGGTTTTATGTAGGAGGGGTTAAAAGGTAAATATTAGGACCCATTTTGAAAGAAAATAGAGAAGTGAGGGTCATTGTTGTTATTATGGGAGAAGCTGGTGGAACCGGGTATATATGCCTCATTACCGTCAAACTCAACCGCACCACCCTTATACCTCCCCTTCCCAGCCGCCACCACCTCGATTAAGATCCCAAACCACCGGAGCAGCCCCTCGCGTCCATCCTAATGACGAGAAAGTGAAATACATGAGTTTTTGTCGCCGGTTGCTCGTGGACTGCCCTTCGGTCTTGCCCACCACCTCCTTTCATGGATGTTAATGAGCTTGCTGCCATGGATGCTGATGTTGGAGCTGCCAACGAGGACTTGAGTAGGTGTTTATTCGCCACCGTTGTTGCTGCTATACTCGGTGGATTCGAACCACCTTCTTCTTTCTTCCTTTCCTTCCGCTGGATGCCTCACCATTGCCATTTGGAGGCTGACGCTCTCGGCCGCTGTATGCCACCATGGATTGGTGGTTAGGTTCGTGGAATTATGAAGCTGATGCGAGTGTGGCTGTATCAGAGTCGTGCGCGAAGATTGTGAAGAACCACCATGGTAGTCGGCCATGGTGGTTGCCGCCGATAATCGAGCTGCTCCATATCGTCGTGACTGCTATTGCCGCTTTCCCATGTTGCTGATGTCGTCGCCAACCACCACAGGTGGGTGTTGGGTTTCTTTTCGAACCAAGATGCACATGTTGTCTCTCTTGCTGCTGTGCTTTTCTTGTATGGTTTTGGTTTGTCCAAAAATCATGGAAGACCACCATGGCTGCCAACCATGGTGGTTATTGTCGCCTTTGCTGTTCTGCCAGCACCAGCCGCCACGTGGTGGTGGTTGTGTGTGTGATGTAGTGTGTGTCGAATATCATGTTATAACTTTGTAATTGATCGAAATAGTAAGAAAACTCTAACCCACCACTGGCCGCCGTGTCGGGTGGCGGTGTGCTTTGATTGCGTTTGGACCTCGTTTGGGGGATGTTTGGACAATATGGGACCAATGAAACCCTAGTTAGCCCA